TAGCCATTAAAAGCTAAATCCCTGGCAACAAAAGTGAGTACACCCCTTAGGAAAAGTTGTCAATATTAACATACAACATGTCAGCTGTCAATATTTTGTGTGGCCACCATCATTATCCAAAACTGCCTTTACTCTCCTCGGCATGGAGTTTACCAGAGCTTCACAGGTAGTCACTGGAATGCTCTTCCACTCCTCAGTGACGACGTCGCGGAGCTGGCGGATATTTGAGACTCTGCCCACCTCCACCTTCTGCTTGAGGATGGCCCAAAGATGTTCTATTGGGTTCAAGTCTGGAGACATGCTTGGCCAGTCCATCACCTTTACCCTCAGCCTCTTCAGTAAAGCAGTGGTTGTCTTAGATGTGTGTTTGGAGTCATTGTCATACTGGAACACTGCTCTGCGACTCAGTTTCTGGAGGGAGGGGATCATGCTCTGCTGCAGTATTTCACAGTACATGTTGGAGTTCATGCTTCCCTCAATGAAATGTAACTCTCCAATACCTGCAGCACTCATGCAGCCCCAGACCATGACATTCCCACCACCATGCTTGACTGTAGGCATGTATCTTTGTACTCCTCACCTGGTCGCCACCACACATGCTTAAGGCCATCAGAACCAAACAAATTAAATTTCGTCTCATCAGACCATAGGACATGGTTCCAGTAATCTATGGGCTTTGTTGACATGTCTTCAGCAAACTGTTTGTGGACTTTCTTGTGTATTGCCTTCAGAAGAGGCTTCCTCCTGGGGTGACAGCCATGCACACCAATTTGATGTAGTGTGCGGCGTATGGTCTGAACACTAACAGGCTGAATCCCAATCTCTTTAATCTCTGCAGCAATGCTAACAGCACTCCTACGCCGATCTTTCAAAGAAAGCATTTGGATGTGACGCTCAGCACGTGCGCTCAGCTTCTTTGGATGACCTACCCGAGGCCTATTCTGAGTGGACCCTGCTCTTTTAAAATGCTGGATGATCTTAGCCACTGTGCTGCAGCTCAGTTTCAGGGTGTTGGCAATCTT